TTTTTAAAAGAAATCAAAAGTCATGATTCTTCGATATACATATTCAAATTAATACATAAAATATTTTTATAATTATTCGTTAAATTAAATTAATAAAATAAAGTATCATACAATTTTTAAATTTTTAAAAATTAAAAATTTAATTTATCATTAAAATTTTTAATTCAAAAATTAAATTATTAAAATTTGGTATAAACATAAATTATAAATTAACAAACTAAAATATTATCCCCAACATGTAGTGTTAAAAATAACGGTTATATATATTGTTAAAATAAATAAATAATTGAAATTGTTATCCCAAGAAAATGACTTCAAAACTAAAGTTTCATAAATTTTAAAATATTCCTCCATCACATTTTGGTTTTTTTATTTATTAATTGGATTAAAAAGTATAATGAAAAATATTAATTACAATAGACGAAAATTAAAAAAAAAATCATGTTCAAAATTTAGATTATTATATGACAACTTCTATTTTACGAATTAAATTTGCATTAAGAATGACTTTCGGAATCATATTGAATCTTTTCCTCCTTTTATAATACTCATTATTCAAATGTATAAATAAAATACTAGTAATTTTAATTCCTAAAAGTAATAATATTTTTTTGAACATGTTGGTTATTTTAATGAACAATTTTATTAACCATCACCCCTAAGACAGTGATTAAAATATTGAAAATTACTGAACAACATTGAAAGTCAAAGAATATATTTTTAAGTGTAACAGTTAACAAAAAAATTGAATGAAAGTAAATCAGTTTTTTTTCTTTTAAGTAGTAACTGAGAAAATGCAATAAATTTGAAAACTTAATAAGATTTAAATGAGTTTGTTTTAAGGCAGCAGGTCTTAAAATTAATAATACAACTTAAATATATTTTTAGTGCTTCAAATTTAAAATAAATCTATTTTTGATCTCTTAAATTTAAAATTATTAATTTTAATTTCTATAATTTCAAAAAATCTTATTTTAATCCTTATATTCAAATTTTATTAAAAAATTTATCAAATATTATTACATAAAATCTACTTATCAATATTCTTATTAGTAAAAATATTATATTAAATCTAATTAATATCGTATAATTATTTTAATTAATCACTTTCAAATATGTTATTAGTGATATAAGAGATTAAAATATAATCTTTAAAATTTATAGAAACTACAAATAACTATTTTAAATTTGATTGAGTAAAAACAAATTTATCTTAAATATGAAAAATTAAAAACATATTTAAATATTAATAATATCATGTACATCTAATAATAAATGAGCATAAAAGAAAAAATGTAGAGAGAGAAAGGTGGCAAAATTTTGCGGCAGGTAAAAATATACAAGAAGCGACGAAGCAGAGATTGTTTCAACAGGTCAACGCCTCGAACTTGACGGGAATGGAACGGTTGAATCCCGTTTGTGAAAGCAAGTTCCCAACAGCAGCAAGATCCCGGCAGAACACTCCCTGAAAAACCGTCGGGTTCGCGGTGGAAGGAGACGAAACGGTGCACTTCGTTTTCTCCGCCTTCACGTTAGTCTCATTCACGGCTTGGGCTTGGGCTTGGGCCTGGGCCTGGGCTTCGAGAAGCCTCTTCCTCTGCTTCTCAGCGGCCTCCTCGTCCATGATGCTACCCATCACATGGGTGTAGCCCTTCTGAAGCAGCCGGTAGAGCAGCAGCGCGGACATCCTCGCCCTTTCCTTAACCGAATCGAGGTCGCGGTCGTCGCCCAGCTCGCACCTTTCGATGAAGCAGGTGGCCTTGTCGGGCTTGTGTTTCAGACACAGCAACAAGTGCGCCCTCTGCAGCTCCGAACGGCCGCACCCGCGCCGCAACCCGATCAGCCCGTGGTAGTCCACGTTCCCCGTCTCCCCCGAAGCCACTCTCTGCTTCAGCTCCTGGATCTTCGTCGCCAGAACGCAGAGCTTCCCGGGAATCTCGCCGTACCGCACGTTGTGGCGCTTCCACGCTGGACCCGCCAGCTTTCGGTCGCGGAGGATGGTGTTGTAGAGGAGCTTCAGGTGCTCCAGGTCGTGGAGCGAGTCCGGGAAGCACCGAATGGATTCCAGAAGAGAGGCTCTGGTGTCAAGTGCTTGGATGCAGGTTGGGTCCAAGGCCAGGGTTCTGTTGCAGTCCGCGATTGAGTCCGCGATTCGGCCCGCCGACCGGTGCGCGGCGGCTCTGTGCATGTAGCACTCCGCCAGGAAGCCCTGCGGGGCGCCGCGCCGGCCTTCAACGATTTTCGAGAAGTGGCGGATGGCCTCCGAGTGGAGCCCCGCGTCCAGGGCGGCCAGCGCGGCGGCGCGGCGCCGGAGGAGGAGCTTTATGTGGGCCAGGAGCTGGGTCACGGTTTCGGACTCCGGTGGTGGGGTGGCGGCGGGCGCGGTGTCGCCGGCGAAGAGGGGGTTGGAGAGGGAGAAGCTGTCGTCGGACCAATGCACGCTCTCGCGGCGGAAGGCCGCCGTGGCGAGGCGTTTTCCCGTTTGGAGAAGGACCATTGCGTCTTCCATTAGGCCTAGGTGGCAACATGCTTTCCCCAGCACCAAGTATCTGTTATTCACATTCACAATGTTAGAAAATAGTAAAAATGTAAATGATTCTCCTCTTCCTCTTCCTCTTCCTATTGTGCACACACGTCTCTATCAACGAAGAACATAGAAAGAAATAAAAAACAATCTAGTTGAATGAATTTTGAAATATAATAAATAATTGCGTAAAAATGAGAATCCATTTAGGAGAAATTTGAAAATTTCCTTGGTTTAGTGAGTTGGAAAACAGGTCATTAAATGAAAACGGATATGACAAGCAGCACTGGTGAGTGGGATCTGATCGAAAACGGAGAAAGTCCATTTTCAGTTTTAAATGAAAAAGGCAGAGACAGTGGAGAGATTGGCAAACCAATGCAAGATATAATAAATAAATAAATAAAAGCGAATAAAAATGTGTGTTACCTCCAATAGCCTTGGTTGTCGCAACTTTTACAGAACCCTGCCATAAGCTTCTTCTTCAAGTCAGAGACAGAGAAGCACTTGAAGCTCTGATCCGAATGGGAGGAGTCGGAGGAGGTTAGAAGCTGCTGCGACGACATATCGGAAGA